GCTTGCATTTGAGTTCAGACTGTGTTAACAGAAATGAAATTTTTGTTTTTGCGATGGGGAAGCGAAAATTGGTGGAATTAACTTTAGAAAATGTTATTGAGGCTGGGGTGTAATGTGCAATGCATGGGAGTGGGCTTCAAAAGATTATTATTAATACTATTGTCATTAATTCTTAATTCAAGTAAGCCTAGTAGTTAGTGTATGTAAGTAAATAGATTATTTTGTCATTAGACCACAATCTGATGTTTCTCCTTCCCTCTATCTTGGACACCTCTGTAAGTTGGACACATTTTCGTGGAACCCCAAGTGTCCAACTTAGAGAGGTTTTACTGTACCTGAAAAATAAAACCGACGCGAAGTTTAAATGACTTAATATCAATTTTATACAATCAAAATCCCAGTACAGGTAGCTCTCGAATTTACGCCGGGGATGTGCTCCTGGACGAACCGGCGTAAATTGAAACTCTTTTATAATGTAAATCAATGGGAAGTCAATGACATGCGTTCCCTGCACCCAAACATTGACGAGTAATATAATGGCATTACATTTAAAGCTCTGAAATAACGTAAATAAAGTAAAGGGAATTTAAAAACTATATTTTATACACTTACAATCGGCAATTCGTTGGTCCCAGCGATTGACTGCGATTCTTTCATGTGATTGATGTGTACAGTCATCTCTGCTGTTATGCGATAGTTGCATTCATGTAAGACGCCGACCTATAGAAAATCGTGTAGCAAAAATAACCCCGGTACCTCCGCAGAGATTAAATTAGTTCTTTGAAAGTTTAAAGTGCCAGAAATGAAATTGCATAAGAGCAAACTCGCATATGCAAAAGTTAGCGTTTCACAAACAGCTTTTACCGATTCATCGATCTCATTGGAGCAAAATCCCGTGAACGAAACATACGTATTTGCAGAGATGACTGTATTTATAATTCTTATTCAAAATCAGCGATGTAAGAATTACGATTTAGTATAACAATCAGAACGAGGTACATTGTAAAATGTTATAAGTAATAGTATTTTTTTTCCACTTTTTGACTTTCTGGTTTCAAAATCGGCGCAAATCGAGGGTTACCTGTACTTAACAACTCCGTTGTAACACGGAGAAAGCGGTGATGCCCTTAAAATGGGGTTATGACCCAAAACATGTCACAAATGAACTGAATTCAACACATAAAGTGAAACTCTTGTGTGTGAATGGATGATAATTTTCAGAACATGATGCTCCTGTATTTACGATGTTATGACCTAAGGGTTAGAGTATTAAGGTGTATCCTGGTAGGGACCTATTACCTCTCCACTCCTATTCCAGTAATTAAGTCACAAGCTTCCCTTAACTACTTTAATAATATACTAAACAAAATAAAAGTTACATTCCCACTACTACAACATGGGTTCAACATACAAAGCTATGATAGTTCTGTAATTCTGATGCCTCCTAGCTTCATCTCAACACTTGTCCACTCGAGCGCAAGACTAACGAAGATCACAGTGTCGTCTCTAGTAGCTGATGAGGATCAGAGAGCTACCTCATCAATTGGTAAGCTTATAAAGGGTTTCTTTGTCCCGTAACTGGGAATTTCATATTACACGATAATATAGTACAAATTGGTCAGTCACACCCTCGACACAAAAGACTCATTTGTAAGATAACGAGCGATTGGTGTTATTCTCATCATCTAATGATATGCTACATCCTAAGAACCTCCTATTTGGTATTTCCAAGACGTAAGTCTCTGTGGCTGCTTTGAGGTTGCAGGTTTTCCGTAGGAAGGATATTGTGGTCATTCGTTCTTTCCTGTGTGACCAACTGGCACAAACATTTCCTGTACTTCCAACTAACTCATTATTAACTACTTACAATCAATCAATTATAATATAAGTACTAAATACATAAAGGTGAAACAGGTGTTCATAACACTTTCCCCTCCTTTAATGAAAATGTAAACTAATAAACACATTTTCTGAACTAATTACTCACAGATTAATAAACACATCCGGCTCCTTTCAGTTTTCTGTCTCTTTCGGTTTCTTTCCTCTGTTTACGTCAACACTGATTAATTATTTAATTATTAGAGATATAACTAAAGTTTTAACAGTAACAACCAAATGGCTGAAAGTGAAGGTAGTCCCGACAATGGTGACCACTGGAATCCTCCTGGGATTGTGCGCGGGGAGAGTCCTCCTTTACTGTCTGGCTGGATACCTCGAAACCAATTCCGACGTAGACGAGGTGTACGACGATTTATGCATCAGCCGGAACTTTACCCCGGTGATGGTGTAGGTATACGTTCACTTTGCCGATTGGCTTCTGCTTCTGCCAATTCTGCTAATCGGGTTTGATTCATCATCTGCAGAGGTAAGGTAGTTGATGTATGCGATTCTTCACGATAACCTGAACGCAGTTGGTTTGACCTACATAACTGTGTTCCTGACGGTGAGCGTTTCCAATCCGTCCAACATCACTCGTTATTTCGGTGAGTGAACATTATATATATATATATATATATATATATATATTAATGAACAGACTGAGAATACAATTAATACTCCAAAAATCCACTCGATTACAGATGTCCCTTCTGCTGGTGGGCCATGACGTAGGTTATACGAAATACTGGCCACATCTATTCCAGGTCTGGAACTCATTGCTTCTCATCGCTGAATAATGGCTTTAACTCTCCCAACTCGGCGGAGTGGTTCTATAACAGTTTCTTCATCCTCATTTAGTATTCTCTCTATACTTGGTAACAAAATACGAGCCTTGCTTAACCTGATTGTAGTTCTTCCCAACGAATGTAGTAATAATTTGAAATTTTCAGAATATACGTAACAATCTGACGAATCCGGTAGGATTCCTGTTCCAACTAATACCTTTTCTTGACTTGGTTCATAGTCCTGGGGAGGTCCTGTTGTTCGACACTTCAGAGTGACGCGTGTTGGTGAACTAAGACTATACACCCATAATTTTGAATGTGGAGATCTAATCCATATTGGCTCAAAATCATTCTCTTGCATTCTTTGATAGAATTTTCAGTATTTCCGAAAAATAAAGCAATTAAACAATTATGATGTCCTGGCTTCCTTAATACAAAATCTGAAGGGCATACCGTATAATAGTTTTTAGTACATTTTGACAATGCACATGGGCTCAACGTTGTAAAGAACAGTCTGTCCTCAGCCACAGCTAAGTAAGACAATGGTTCATCAATCATTATAAAGTTATTAATCCCAGCTTGAAAGAAAGGTAAGGAATGAGCCTGGTAAAGTCCAAAGTATCTATCAGCGCCTTTTAAAGGTATATCAATAAACAATCGGATACTCCCTATTTCATAATAAACGTACATTTCTTCTAACATCTTTTGCATCTGCAGTTCCGAATAAATACTTTAAACCTTATCCTACTATACTGGCTAATCCACGCTTACTTCGTGCTACTATTCCCCCAACCTCAGAAGCTCGTATGACCTCCATGATGGTATTAACCCTTTTAAGCCAAACGGTAACTGTTAAGCTACCTTAATAATCAATAACGCTTTATTTTGTATTTGTGTTTCCTGTGATTCTCACTGTAAACAGCAATTACTTCCTTAAATTTCATTAACCACTTGATGTTTGTAATTGTGAAGTGTTATGTTTTATTTGCAGTACAGACTAGATGTTTAAATATTATACAGACGGGTTTCAGCTTCAAAGGTTAATGATAATAGGAAACTGAGAGGCATAAAGATGGAGTGGCATCTACTTCAGGATTGTCATATCAAGTTCAATGAAGATCAGTCAGATATATAAAAATTATGATGTGGCTTTCATATATCACGGGTCTGATGGTTTATTTGCACAAAATTATAGTAACCACAGTTTGAAAGCTGTAGCCCTGATGCTGTGGAAAATGTGCAGCTGTTTCTGTACTGTGCCGTGGAGGGATACACAAGGACAATTATGAACATTCAAATGAATGTGTACCTTTACCTTTTTTGTGTTATTTTCACAAAATTCATAAAATGGATGCATACCATGGGTTCATGTCTATCCATGTTTCATCCCCAAAACTAATGAATGGACTTGAGTGACATCTGGTATTGAGTGCGGTTTACAATACAAGCCGTCAGGAACTGTCACTGACAAGCAAAATGAAGTGCTGTAGTATTCTATACATTGCATTACTGTTTTACTCCACATGCATGTGGACTTACAATGATGCCATAAACCCAACTTTCCTTAGATAAGAATGTGGGCTAAAAAGGGAGAAGAAAAGAAAAATTCTGAACTTTGTTACTGTGAAATATATGTTGCTATGTCATCAGTACAGTAGATTCCAGTTAATTAGGTTATCGGCAGCCATTTATTTGGGAAAAATCTTAAAGAACAATAACAAATCAAAAAAAATAACTGGAATTTGCTTTGCTTATTTGGGACACCATTCCATTCAATCAGGACAGGGAGTTCTAGACGGTGCGCTTGTGGTGTGTGGCATGGACGGATGAGTGAAACTGAGTGAGTCATCGCTGATTCACTCATTAATGAACACGTGCGTATTCAGAGAGTGTAGCGGCGATTCTGCTTGCAGTGACTGCTAGATGGCGTGCTTGTGATCACTAGGTATGTGGCATTTGCGCTGACCCACTCAGTGACTAACCAGGATGCCAGGAAATTTGTTGCTGGATTATGATGCTACTTCATGCAGGAAGGCAATGAAGGCAGTTCTGTGTCTGCACTAGATACCTGAGCTGATTTTGTTCAGTTGCAGTCAATCAAGAGAACACGACAGGGTACACTCGACAAATTTCTCCAACATCATAAACTGTTAAGAACTACACACAGGCGTGTTTGAAACATACATTAAACTGAAATTGCTTTTAGCGTAAATATTTTTCTCCAATCTGTAACATTTGTTCCAGAATTCATTTACAATATTGTTTTTGCTCAATAAATCATCTCAATAAACGGGAGTTTGTCTTTTGTTTTAAACCTTTTTAACTCTTCGCATAATTGGGCCAAGTGTTCTAGTTCCGATGTGTCCCAATTAACCGGAATCTACTGTATTTATAAGCTTATGTGAGTTAAAATCATAGTGTAAGAGTTTAACACAGTCACCCTGTTCATTGTTTTAACACACAAAAATGTTCCAAATAAAGCATGTAGGTACATGTTTCATCTACACATAACATTTCGCATGTCTAGTGCCTATAATTCATTACTAATCACCATGAAACATCTAAATACAGATGGTGTGTGGCTGCTATGTAGTTCTACATGAAACAAAAATAAGCCTACAAAGAAATTACACATTTCTGAAAATTTATTATTGCCTCATCAAACTTCAAGGTACTAGTACTGCTCCCACTCAGACATCTGTATGAAGTCAGACGGACAATACTTTAAAAGCAGTCACACTCACTATAAATACCCTTATCCCATTCAATATGTCTACTAGGCGCAGTCCAGTAGAGTGTGAAACTGGCCATTACAATTCCATCTATCTCAAAACCTGAAGTGAGCATGGAAAGGAAAAGCTGACAAAAGTTGTAGCGGTTTGTAATATATTCATATACACAGACATAAAAAGGGGCGGGGTCCAGCCTAACAGTACTGAAATTCAAGCAAGCTGTCAAAATACATGGAATGCAAAATGCTGAAGTATTATCTACAACACGCATACCACGAATGAAGTAAGTATCCAGTCTCTCTGCAACTCAGGCGCTGCTTCACCCAGCATCACCACTTGATATTTAGCGAGTTAGCCACTTTCTCTACTGCTTGATATTTAGTATGTAACATAGCTGAACACTTATCACTGTCAGCACCTCCTAGCCACGTATGGTATAACTCCTGAACTGTACTGTTTTCTTCAGGTACTTGTTTTTGTAAGGCCTGATACATTGCCTCTAGCTTCACTGTCAGTTCTTTCGAAGAAGAAGCATCTTGCGGTCGCACTTGAGCACCCCCATTTAAACAACCTGAACATAAATAACAATTATAAGCAGAAATGAAATAAGAGGGAAATTACAGAATATAATAAATGAGATAATTCAGAACTAAAAATGTTATTACTTGGTCAAAATCCTAGTGTCAAATAAACTTTGATAGAATATAATCAACTTAAAACTTTATTTTATACCTGCATTAACTTGTAACAAGGATTTTGAAAGAAAAACAAGAAGAGATAAGTTAGAAATTAGGGTAAGAAGTGAAGTAAATAAGATCATTAATGTTTACTAAAGTCTTCTTGGGTTAAATGCAGCCTTATATGTGTTATCAGCATTCTGGAGAATTGATTGTCATCTTCAGTATCACAATCCAAAAGACCACGATCAACAGTAAAAACCCCAGCCTTGGAATAATTAATAACCAGCAAACTCACGTGCTTTGAACACATTAAAACAATTCAGAATCTCTGAGCCAGTATTATAGTTGGGGAATGATAACAGTAACACAGATTTCAATACACTCTGGACTTGGAGATTTGGGAGGGTTCAGGAAATGCGTGCTATCAGTCAGTTATTCTTCTTCTTCTACGGCGTGACAGCCCGAAGTCGAGCCTTGGCCTCCTCATCAGTCAGTTCAGAGTCTTCTCATGAAGATGGCTGTCTTGTAGGTAGAAGCACTGTGCAGTCTGGTAGAAGTTTACCAATATTTCAGAGGTCTTTTCTGCTTCCATCATCAGTCGTCACCCTGATGATGGAGGCAGCAAGTACCTCTGAAATATTGGTAAACTTACACCAGACTACAACCCAGAAGACAGTCAGAACCTCAAACCCTACAAATTCCTTTACTTTGCTACCTATTATCTAAAAACCAAATGTTTAAAATACACAAAATTATAATTCTATCCATTGTTTTATGAGCCTGACACTGTGGTGTCTCAGCCTAAAGGAAGAATCAAAACTGAAGGTGTTGCAGATCAAAGTGCTGAGAACCTAAGAGAGCAGAAGTAAGAGGACAGTGCAGAAAATTACAACATGATGAACTTTGTTATTTATAAGCTACATACTATATTACGTTGAGATAAGAAGAATATGTAGCATGCAAGCAAGGAATGAGAAATTCATATGAATGCAGCAGATGGGTGGGAAAGCTGAAGGGAACAAAATGTAGCTACTGGGTTTGTTACTGATTGGTGACCCTTGGGCTTCACCTGTCTTGTCTACCCACAGGGGTTGTGTGGGTCAATCTGTTGACAGCTGCATACAAGACAGGTTTGAGTTTTGAGATTTTAGTGAGGTGATACTAGCAAACAAGAAAAATTCAGTATAGTGAATGCATTTTAAACAGAAGTAAGTTGCATTCAAAAGTATTGTGGAACAATGGTGAAAGTCCTACGCAAAGCTTATATTACTGTCATTTGTCATACTAATGATAAGTTAATATTTTGCATTTGATCTGTAGCTATTCCTCAACTACATTGCCACCAACATCAGAACGTGCTGTTGCACTTTTCCCCACTACATTGTAATCCAACTTCCCTTTCCTTCTCCACTTGCACTGGCAATCACCATCATAAAGTACAGATCAGTACAGGTCTACATGGCAAGATGGCATTAGAATCAGTCTAGGAGAAATATAGTGTGGACTGGATTCAACTGGCTTGGCAAAGGGTTCAGAGGTGGGCTTTTCTCAAAATGGTAATTAACCCTCAATCAGTTTGAATGCATATTTCAGCTCTGTGTGCTACATGTCCTGTCCATCATATCCTTGTTGACATGATCATACTATTCATAACTGATGAAGAGTACAAATTATGAAGCTCCTTTATAAAACAATTTTCTCCAGCCTCCTGTTACATATTCCCTAGATTTGTTCTATTTTCTGTTTTGTTTCCCATCCCCTTGTAATGCAGTATATAAACAGACTGTAATTTTTGACAGATATGAAATATTTCCATCTTTAAGTTTAATTTGCTGTCTGACAGTAAACGTTGACATTCGATGTGCTATACAGAATCTCAGTCCAATAAGAAGACCTTGCTGCCACTGAACTCATGCAAAATGACACTATATTCAACATCTCAATGAGAATATTCATATAATTGAAGGAATAATTCAGGCTTTCCTTTTATCATATGCGTGCCTGCTCCTCATCTTTACTACTGTCCTATTTGAGCACTGTAATCTGATCGCATTTCCTGATCTTGACTTATTTCGCATGAAGTTCATACAAGGTAACTCTGAAGATGCTAAAATGAGAATAAATACCTGATGGGCAAGCCATGACCTCGACATAATGGTAACTGTTCTTTCCTCGTTTCATCTTCTGAACCAAGTTCTGGATATTTCGGAAACCATTGACAACAGCAAATTTCAGCAACACCTTTCCATCTTGTTCCAGTGTTACCTCACGAAAATCTGGGTTCCTGCAAAGAATAAATGGATAGGTTTTAAAACAGCAACCTCGTGGAAAGACATCTATGTGTACAGTGAAACCTCTATCCATCGTTCCCGGAACTATCGTTTTCCCGGATGCATCGTCCGTTTTGTTCGGTCCCGAATACATCCCATATAAAATAATGTTACATTTTCCCGCTTCTATCGTTCCTCGAACTATCGTTTTATCGCATCAAAAATCTTAGTCCCGGCCCACAATTTTCCCGCAATGATCGTTCCTGAGAATTTAAAATGCTGGGTTTAGAGATAAATTAATACCGAAAGACGCACAATGTTTTTGGAATAAACAGTAGCGGTAACCTGTTATGTCGCCCAACCAGCACATTCTTTTGGAATGAGGGTCAGCGGTGCAGGGGTGATAGTTGGAGTGAATGGCGGTGC